GCTGCCCTCTCCTCTCTCTGGAGAAGCCAACCCCAGGGCACGACTGAAACACACACTACCTGTACAGCAGAGGTGAGATGCTTAGACAGCAGCTGGCAGTTTCATGTATGCTGCAGTAATGATCACAGATCAACTGTGTGCAGCACCAAGAGCCTGGAAACTCTTTTGAAACTGAAGCCCTTGATGATGAAGGAAAAAAGTACATTTAATGCATGTGTTAGTAGCTGGTCAGAGCTAGTGGCAAAGAGCATGTTGTTGTTTAAATTTAAATGGTTTCCACAGTCACAGTTTGAGACAAGAATGAACTTAATCATATAAAATACACATTAAAATATAAAACATATATATAATATAGAAATGGTCTTAAGAAGACACAAACTACTTACTGTATTTCACTATAAAAAAAACCTTCTCTCTCTGTATAAATCAGTATAACAAAAACTACAGACTGAAATGTATTAGCATCGCTTTCTAAACAAAACAAATCCATTGGGTTACTCACAAAACTAAAAGCAAAACAACAATGTAAATATGAATACAGTTGAAGCTTTGCCCCACTATAGCGGACATCTTAAAAAATGATCATATTAGACTGAAAATTCATATTTCAAGGGATGAATATGTAAATGGAGGCAAAATAATGTTAAATAATTAATATAGTATTAATCTAATATATATATAAGATTACTTTAAAACACAATAAGCACAGAAAGTAGAAAATAACCTTGAGGTTATAAGGTTTTTCAATTTTGACTATTTAAGCTTAATTAAAAAAAATATCATCCTACTTTTATTATTAGGAGCTTACTATTATTCTATTATCCTACAGTTTGTCTTCTTGAGTCCAGATTCAAACACTTCCTATTGGACATGCCCTCAAAGTTGTAAACAAAAACATCATGTAATTGTTCAGAATGCTTCTGTTACTCATGTGTCCACATTTATTCTTTAATATCTGATAACTCTTTAAGGATAAAACAAATACTGAACATACAGTATAAAGTGCAGGCTATAATGCATATGATACTATGTCTTATACAGTATATACACTATGGAATATCATTATTCGTTAACATGCCGAATGTGTCAGTATAGCGAAGTCCCTATCACTGTTTATCATGGTTCCCTTCCATAAAGGTATATCGATAACTAACATCTTAAAAGGGACAAAAAATCATTTAAAGAAATGATGAACCTCAGGGGTTGACTGAACTAGGGGGGCACTGAAAGTATGAGTATATGAGATAATCCGGCTTCAACACTTTTTATTGTATGGATTAAAGAAATCAGTGCCCAGCTGTCAATACAATAAACAGAAGAGACCAATTCCTGAATTACAGAACTGCCAATTTCACAAACTAGTTAGCACTTTCCACATCTCCTCTTGACGTACTGTACTAAAGATCCCTTAAATAAATAAGCACAAACTTTCCAAACCACATTCCCACGACAAAAATGGAAAAACGAAGGGACCTACAGTAGCTGTATTTCATTATGAAGCACAAAAAATTCTCATGTGCCTTGACCAAAATGTTTCGTTTCTCTAGATTTATCTACAGCTGCTACAAAATCTTGTTTTGATGAAAAAGAAAATGATTGAGGAGAATTATAGTGAAATTTACAACTGCTTCACACTGCGAACCTTGCTTACCACTGGACTGTTAGTGTGTGCTCACTTTACGTACTACAGTATATATAAAACTTTGATTTCAATGTTGGGGCAAATTTAACCCGGAGACGATACACAGAATAGTAGAATACGTTTTTATTTACGGCATATCCTTCCACAAACCCACATTATTGTATAGTCATTTTGCAACAGAATGATGAAGTTATTTTTTCAGGTACTGTAAACCTTGAATGTGGTATTTACGTACAGTACATGGCTGTGTAACAAAATTATCAACTGCCTTCCAAGAATAATCCAATGAACCCAAGAGAGAATGTAGCACTGGCATTTGAAAAACCAGCTATTAGCTGAACCATTTTGGACCATTTTGGACCACACAACATTCAGTGAAAGCATTTTTGTAAGACCACCCGGGAGTATGTACTTCACAAGTACAACAATTCAAGCAGCACCCGATTCATTCATTCAATCTACTGTTGCTGCTTTTCCACTAAAGAGTGCAGACCTACACTCTGAGCTTTAAGGTTAAAGGGATCACCAACCAGCTGTGGGTCAATCTGGGAAGTACATTTTAATGTAACGGAATGTAGATTTCAATTCAATGCAATTCAATTGTTTTTTTTTCATGTTATTTTTAGGTAGTGCCCTCAGTGGAACATTTAATCATTGCAGAAAGCAAGCATACTGCACTTTCAGGAGTAAGTCTAAAAGTGGAAATTGCAGGGCAACTTAAAGAACCACTTACAGTATTGCAGACATCCTTTGCATATGCGGTATACTGTACAGTACATAATAACAAAAACTGCAATTTTAAACTTTAAACTGCAAATCATCAATTGGATTGTGTCATAGTTCATAACTGGCCAAAAGCTAAAAATGAAGTACAAATCCAACTCTAAAGCTTTATTGGTCTGTTTTGGGAAAGATGTTGTCTATGCTATTTTTAAGTCCAGGAAAGAGCAGGTGCATGTAAACCAGAACATTTCTCTGCAAGTTCAAATCAGTTAACAATAATTTATATTAAATAAAAATGGAAAATTATAAAGAAGAATGTGATGTTGTAGGTACAATATATAATAATTGTATACAGTACATGTAAGTGTAATTGCATAAAAAAAACCTTAAATCAAATTAACAGATTTAAAGTACCATTAGTAAATATTTTAATAAACCGAGCATGGCCAGCATTTAAAATGGCAATTTTATGTTCTCTGTGTATCAGTTACATATTTCTGTGTTTTTTAACACAAAATATACAAACAGTATTTACATATTTTTCTGTTTTCCAGAACACCATGAAAAATTTATTTTGTGTTCTCTATATTGTAACAGCCATTAGGTACAGTGTTGTTATATGCATTTAACAATCCCTTGTGAAGCTTTTAATTGCCCTATTCCCTTTGAAAAAAATACAATTCGAATAAAATGCCACTTTTCTGATCTTTGTCCTCCAATTTGGTATCCTAATTAATCTAACCTCTGCAGAAGACAACACACATACAGTATATACTCAACATTCATGGCTCATTAAGCTATCCATTCCTAACACAAATCTTCAGGTAACAAAAATCATGCAGTATTCTAAGTGTCATTTTGCACTGAATGAAGTTTTGAGAAACAGTGAAGGGAAGAATCTGTTAGTACTCGAGCAAACAGTTTTCTATGTGTCTGAGAAGAAAAATAAAACATCCCTCTTCTTCAGAAGTAAGAATTGATCGAAATGAGACATGAATTAGAGTGAAAACGATATACTGTACTACCTTGTCAGAAATCTGAGAGAGTGTATAATTTGTGAGCCACTGCCACTGCAGAGAATCAAGATGATTTTTTAACAATCTTTGACAAAATAATGAATATCCATACTATTAAAAAGGTCTTCAGACAACATCCCAGCACAAAAAATAATTCCTCAGTTTCTTCCTCATTTTTACATAACATTTATTATTTTGTATATAATACCATACCTTGACAAGCATAGTTAATATCTAAAAAACATTTTTAAATAACGGAAATGGGTGTATTTATATCTCGGATAATAAGTTCAGAATAAAAACCTAAACCTGTTCTAGATACAGCACCTGTCAAGAATAAAGAGGCAGTAACCCCACTGCTAGCAGCAAACATTAAGTCTCCAGGGCAAAGGTGATTCTACAACAGAATTCCCAACAGAATCATGTCACCACTTTGACTATTCTGTGACAGGAGCCTTCATGGCTTCTGAGTACCAATGTTCAGTGAAGGGGCATTTTTTTAATTTTTAGAATGATAGCCAATGCAGGCTCG